AAAACATGAGCGTCTGGAAAATGGTTTTAAATAGATATTTTAATTTTATTTTGTTAAATAACATTTCTTTTGTGTCAAATAAAATGCACCAGGAAAGCTAACCGGAACACCGGAAAAGGATACTATCGTTGCGGCTCGTCGCCTGGAATCGGTATAAATGTTTCGGAGGTTTTCTTTTTATCATGTCTATGTTTTTTTTTCTATATTTGTTTATAATGATAATTTTCTCTCTTTTTATGTAGGGTATATACATTATTTTCCGTTTACATCAACAAAATAATTATCTAAAAAGGTGTTGAAAAAAAAACGACAAAAGCGTTAAAAAAAATAATAGAAGAAAAATAAAACATTTGAAAGAAAAAGGATTCCAATCCAATAATCGTAAATTCTTGCATTTATAACAAGAAATACGATTTGCTTCAAGACATTCTTATATTCTATTTAGTAATTGCTAAATAAATTCCAAAATTCTTTGATCAGAATATAATACTCAAAATAATTGATTTATTTTATATATAATGCATAAATGTTGTTTACAATTATAATTAATCAGCATTAAATAATATTAAAAACTCAATATTCAATACAACCTATTYAAAATGTTCACCAAACTTAGTTCATATTCTACTTCAACATTCGTAGGTATTGTCTTAAAAATGCATTCAAATTATTCAATGTATCATCTACGTGACTATTATAGCTCCATCAAAGTTTGATATAATTTATATTCTGAGCGAAGTTCTCCTTATACATACGGCTATTTTTATTTTGTTTACATAGTTAATAAATTATAGACTCGAAAAGTTGTATTGATTATCTCAATAACTTATAGGAATGTCAGAAGTTGACCATCGAATGCCGATTTCGAAATTTTATAGAAATGTGTTTTTGAGGTTCTATCAATTTGTCGATGGACATATATTCACTAATTGATAATTGATTTACCTAATTTACGAGATTCTGATACATTTTGGCAAAGGTGGGCATTATAACTTATCAAAAAGATAAAGATAAGTTAAAAATTTATTTAAACAATTTTTTTTTWKAKATATTTGTACTTAACTGGTTAGTTATTTTAGTTTTAAACTTTTAAGTTTATCTTTTAAAACTGTTATAGATGTAACTTAAYTTTTTATAGTTAATTATCATTATCTTAGAGTTAAGTTAATTTTCTAATTTGCTTCTCGTATAATACGAGACAAACAGATATTATTGATTTGTTAATTTATTACTTTTTATTAATTACTTTCTCTTATAACTAAAATAATAATTTATCAATTTAGATTTATTATGTAATTATAAAAATTAATGTATTATTTTTTTTTTATATAAATTAAAAAAATAGAAAAAAACATTTAAGTATGTAATAAAAATAAATAATCTTTATAATAGAATTTTAAATAGTTTAGAAAATTATCTATTTACCTATTATTATATTTATGATTTCTAAAAATGTAAAAAAAAAATGATGAAGTACCTATGTAAAATAGATACTATATTATACCATGTATTTTCAAGGAAGGAAATGATAATCATAAAAGGATTATGTGCATGGTCTGATATGGTCGTCGGAAGTGGACTGCAATAATAAAAACCGATGTCCCTGGCATATCATTAAAAAGCATTTTCTTTTTTTTCTTTTTATTCGTTTTCACTTTTTATATTTTTGCTAAAAAGCCACAACGGATGTACTCAATTTTCATTCACTCTCCTCCCACACCCAGGCATCCCTTTACCATCTCTTTCCTATTCGTTTCCGAACGCCCGGTGAGAAAATATATTTAGGTATATAGTATATATTATATAATGTATTGTGTGTTTGAGCTCAGTGCAATTGTTCCAAAATACGCCATTTTTTCTCAAAGGGCCAAAAGCGCAAAACCACTGAAGGATGACGACCGAAAGTTGTTTCCATGGAAACTGTTTTCTTCTTTTTTAACTTTATTTTCTATGAAAACGACAATACTTTAGAATACGGTATACTGTTTGGAGATTTTCAAAGATATATATATATATTATTAAGTACCTACCTATAATAATTGTGTTRTTTTTTAAGAAATTAATTTATATTGTTCATACAATATGATAGAATTTTTGTGTATTATTATATTTACATTTTGCATGTAAACTGATTTCTAGAGTATTTAAAATGAACTGTTGTAAAGCAAACTTACAATTGTTTCGTTTGTCAGTATTATTTTGCTCATCCTGAAATAAATCGAGTGAATTGGTAGTTGGATGAGTAGACACTGGCGTCCTAGATGACGGTGCTGCTGGACAAAAAGGAGATGTACCTAGGTCACACGATGATAAATAACTTCCACGATCCTGTAACGCGGCTTTTGCCTTTTCTACTGACTGTTTGAGTTGCTCAAACGTGGAATTACACGCAAACCTAACAATAAATTTAATTAATAATTAATAATGAATTATTATTACTGATRTTATATTACTATTATTTATATAATTGAAACTTCAAGTATCTCAAAATACAAAATAATTTCTAAAATAAAGTTAATGTATTTACTAAGTTATTACGTTTCCTACCTTTAAAAACATTTGTTCATAATAATAGACGTTGCTATTACTTATTAATCGATATAAATAAATTAAAAGGTTTTGTTTACCTGTACGCACAACTAGCCACTCCTACCGATGGCCATTGCGGAGTAGCAGWAGGAAGACAGTCATTTTCTGTTTTTATACTTGGCGGTGATGACATTGCCACCCTTTTTAGGTCTAACGCACTTTGGTACGAACATGTGCTTTCGTACATCATTGAGTATAACTGAAACAAACATAGAACTGTAAGTATTAATATTATATCATAGTGTTGATTTAATTTTAACTAAACAATTCTATATTTATTTATATTGACTAGACCGCTTTAATAACCAAAATACTTGTCTAATAAGTCGATTAGACAGCGTTAAAAGCATTGTAGAGTTATTTATAGAAGAGATAATCAGTAGTAAAATGAGTAAGTTATCAAGTTAAACAAAAAAGTATCTAGTATCAGTGGTATCTAATATTGAAAATAARTAAGTCAAAAGATTTATGTTATATTTATTTGTTCAATACCTACATATTATGGTATTAATGTTTTCGTAAAATCTACTTTATTACATTTGATTATTTTAAATCTTAAATTTTTAATTAATAGGTAAGTATACCAGTTTTAACGTGAAATTTAGTAAGTTAGTTTTCTGATTAATT